GACCATGCTCCTAATGTAACTCACGGAGAAGAGTATCTCCTTCAGAAATTGTTGTAGGTATATTTTGTATGATCATTTCTCAAAGACGACTGCTAATTGTATAGTGTAGGCCTCTTGCATTATATCATCTATTGCCGTGCCATCCTGCTATTTGTGCACTTACTACTATTTGAGAATAAATCGTGGTTAAATGAGATTCATGTCATTTGAGTAGGCTTGTATCTGTTTCTTGGGCATATTGAGAGTGCTCGTCCACTTTAATTAGGGGACCCTTCCTCCTTCCTCCTACCGTCCCACTGACCTAGGGCTGGTCTGCTATAGTAATTTTATTTGGTCACAGAGAAAAGGGGTTATCATCTACTGAGTGACAAACGATGAGCTTAATTTCAGTATATTCGGATGGAATTAGGTGGATGTGTAAACCATGGGTGCATCCATTTTCATGCTAAGTTCCAATAACAATTTTCTTTGTCTAAGCTGAGCTGATTATAGAGAGAGAGTTGAAACTAAAATGGTAGATTATGCGTCAGTGAACGTGGATAAAAAACTGTACACGATAGCTGTACTTCATATTGAACAGCCATTTTGGTTCCAAAGTCAGCAGTTGGTGCTACTCTCTATATTATGGTGCTCTAGTGTCAGAGATCTGAATGGCAACCTCTTCCCCCCGGAGTTGGGTACAAACGACCCCCAAATATGGGAAGAACAGTAAAGTTGGGCATTAAATTCTGGTTCCTTGGTTCCATGTAAGTCTGTGTGCAGTGGGCGTGGTTTACACTGAAGTGACGTCACACTTACGAACTGGATAGGGTTGATCTAGCCTTGCAGGCCCACCTTAATCCCAACCAACCCGAACCTATTCAACGGTTGGATATGCATTGCACTTTACCTAGTAAATCTCCCTGAGGCAGCCAGCCAGCCAACAGCGTGTTGTTGCCCAGAGTTGACGGTCTCCGCTCCCCAGCGAACTTCCAGATAACACGCAGCGGCACCCTGGCCAGGGCAGTGGCGATCATGTCCGCCATGTCGTCGTCCATGAAGTTCGTCAAGGTGCTGACGGAGAACACAACAACACCATCGTCTCCCGAACCTTGTACAAACTCTTCGAAATCCTTGCCAAGGAATGGTGTTGGAAAGCGTATAAATACCGGGGTATAGTTATTTTCTCTCTGGCTTTATCCCTTTTCTTCTCTTTCAAGGCCAGAGCAGTTGGGCATGTAAATGAAAATTTCTTGGCGCAGGTCGCCATTTAGCGTTTGACTTGGGATTGTTCCTGGTTTGAATTACGTGTGCTTTAAATAGCCGAACTCAAATTGCTTGTTTATTTTCATTACTTATTTATCAAAATATATGCGACTTACCGGAGTTAACGGTTGGGCGGATCGCACGGTCACACCACCTGCAAAAACCACGTTGGGCTGCGTGGGACGAGGGTATTCTAGAATGAAATCCCAGTTCAGGATGAAGAGGGCCGAGTTCCGCCAAATTCCAAGCATCGAAGTCTCTTTTCGATATCCCATCTCCTTCTTCTGGGCATCTGTCCAATAATGCCTGCCAATGTCGTACACGATAACAGACAGCGCGTGCATTATGACGTTCTTGACGCGTTGCAGGTAGGTCATCGAGTCCGTGAAGTGCGTGAGGTATTCCGGGACGTAACTTAGCGGGGAAGGGGTGTCAGACCAACGGGTGTAACGCGTACCCAGGGGCCCACCGTTGGCAATGTTCACATACGGTACATTAAGAACATCGTGTGCCATGATCGAGCAAA